TCATTTTTTTTGGTTAACTCTCTAAGTTAATCTTATAACTTTTTTAAATTTTCATCTTTCACCTTTATTTATTGTTCTTAATTTAAGATAGTATCTTAAAATTTTTTGGATTCTTATTATAACACTTCATTTTATTTTTTCTATTAAACTACTTATTATTTCTATTATTACAATTCTTTGTTTTCTTCTTAAACTTTTTTGAGACTTTATTCTTTTACCTTTAATTAATTTTCAAGAGATGCTATTGATTATTTATAACTGTTTAATTCAGTTAAATATTTTTCTTTAGACTCTATTTGTTAATTGTGATCTTGAATTTCTTCTTCATATATTTTAATTTTAGATTTTAATTCTTCAATTATTTGAATTTAATTGTTAAATTAATTATTATTCTAAATCAATTCAATTTTTTAATCTAATATCTTTTATATTAAATCTTATTTATTCTATGATTCCAATTAAGAGGCAAAGGTTTTTAATTCATCCATACTATAAGAATTCAATTCGCTCAAAGTAGTGCCATCTTCACTTAAAGGAATTTGCTCAATTTTCTTTTATATTTCTTATCTATGAGATTCTAATTCTTATTATTACTTTTATTCTAATTCAGCCTGTCGAGAAGAGGAAACATTTATTTTCTATAGTAATTATTCATTCTCTTATTTTAATGATTAGAATTCTTTTATTAGTTTCTAGATCTATTATTCTTTTTCAATTAATTTATCATTAAAATCTGCCTCTTACTTTTTCATATTAGTTTATAATTCTGCATTTGATAATATTTACTTTTGGCTTGTAATAACAATTTCTTGATCTTTTCCTTTCAATTATGTTTCTAATATAATTACTTTTTATTCCAATTTTGCTTATTTACTTATCAATTCCTCCAATTATTCTTTTAAGATTAAATTTTCTGATTAAATATTGAAAGTATTTTCTAATGGTCTTTAAGAGATTAAATTTTGTAATTTCTTTATTTCATACTCTTACTGTCTTAATAAATCATTTTGTTCATCAATTTATTAATAATTTCTATGATTTTCTAATTCTTTTTCTGTTATTATTTCTTTTTATTTGTTATTAGCCTCTTTTAATTAATCTTATAATTTATTAATTTGAAATTCTTTCAATTTAATCTATTATTCATTTTTTTAATTGATTTCACTTTAAACTTGAACATTAATTATATTTTGTTCCAATTCTAATTTTAGTTAAATAATCTAACTCTCTAAGTCATAAATTTTATTTTAATTTTAACTTTTATTTTCTAATTCTTTTGCTTTAAGTTATTATTAAAATAATGCAATTTTTGCTCTTAAATCTTCTTCATTTTAATCTTTTTTTTATAAATTTTATTATATTTCTTTATTCTCTTCTATAAGGGATTATATGTTGTTTTACAATTTATGCTTATCTTTAATTTAATCTTACATTTTTTTCATTTCTATGTCTTTTTACTTAAGTTAATTTTGAAATTAAGAAATTTATTAATCATAAATTTTAAGTTCTTAATTTCTAAGATTCTCTAATGCATTTAATTTATCTTCATAAATTTAAATATCATCTTGTTATTATATTAAATTTTTCTTATGTTCAGATTCTTTTTTTCTTATATTTCTTTGTTAAGATTTAATTTCATTCTCTTAATGTTCAATTAATAATTATTTTTCTTATATTGAGTATTCCAAATCCTTAATTAAATTCATAAGTCTTTCATTTTCATTATCTGCTATTTATTTTTTATTAATAAGATCATTATATTATTTCTCTTTGATTTACATATCTTACTATAATTTTTCATACAAATACAAATAAGAATCTTAATCTGATAATAAAGAACGTGGACTTTTTTATTCAAAAAATCCTTTTCCTGATAGAATCTATTTCCCAGTTTAATAATCAAAATTTGTTCTTCTCTTAATAGTTGTTTCTATATCATCACTTAATTCTAAGACATTTTAATCTATTTTAATATATTGTTGTTTATTCTAAAACATATTTTATTTTTGTATAATTTCATTTCTAGATGAATTTAGACTATAATTTTTTTTCAATTGATCAATTATGTTATTCTTTTCTTCCAATTCTTACTATAATAACTTGATTTTATTGCTTTATTCTTGCAATTATAATGATTGAGTTATATTCTCTACTTATAATTATTCTATTTGAATCAACAACTATTTATTATTATTTTATGATAATTCTTCGTCCTTCTAATATAAAATTTTATTCATCTATTCAATTTTCTATTGTAAATCCTCTATGATTTATTCATATTATTATTCTTAATAATTATTATCATAGTTAGTTAATGAACCTCTTTGACTTTATATCAACTTTTTTGTTACCAAATCCAATTCATGAATTAATTATTAATTTTGATCTTCCAAACCTTTGATTTTATCAATCTAATACGTTATTTTTTTTATTTACATAGTCCTTTTATGTGATTTCTAACTGCAACTCTTCTTCAAAATGCTGTTAATAATTTGCTAGTTCTCTATCCTTTTAAACTATGATTTCCTTTAATTATTTGAGTTCTCTATCCATTTCATTATTGTTTTTCTGATGTAGTGATGAACATTTCTAATTTTTACACTTTTTGATTTATTCACATAATTATATATTGATTTCTTATAATTCTTGATTATTATTATAAAGAATATCAATATTTTCTTTCATCTAATCATTCTCTTAAATCTTTTCTTTTAACAGTAAAGTCTATAATGAAATCTTAGTTATAAAATATTACCAATTTTTCATTTGCATTAATAACTGCATTAAGCCTTTGCTCCATGTCTTCTATGGTATTCGATGATTTTGATGGAGAGTAAGTATAATCGTATTATCGGTACATATTTATAATTATTTATTATAACAAAACAAATAAAACAAAAATATTGTATCATTTCATATTAAATAATCAAATTAGTTTTTCAAGAGTTTAACATAGTAATGTAAATTACAGTTCTTCTTCTATGTCTTCTTGATTAAATAAAGACTACTTTAATTCTATTTCATGCTTTTTCAATAGTGATTAAGTATGTGCTTTAGACATTTTGGTGCTTCCACTTGTATCATCATGTTAACTAAAATAATTGCCATTAGCTTTTTAAATCTTCTCTCGATTTAATTGTTAATTAGTAGTAGAGATACGAAATTTAGTCTAAATGATTATAATTACTAACTTACTGATGGAGTAATTGGATTGAAGTTTGGTTAACTCTTTTCCCTAGCAAGCTATCGAGAAATCAATGGTCTAGGCATAGATTTTCTTGAAAAGTTAAATTGTGAATGAGTATTCATAAAGTTCATATTTATTATTTTATAATTAATTTCACATTTTACAATAAAAATGGACATAGACAAAAATCTCAGAAGAATTTACTTATATAGATTTATAAATTATTAGATGTTGCTTTTTAGCATTTTTTTCTATAATTAATAATTATCAAACAAATTTCTATATGAATTAAGTGATTTCTGGGTCATGTCCTTATAATAATGAAATGCACTCATCAATAATTATTATTTATTAGCTTCTGTAATCAGTCAAACCATTATGACTATTTTATGCATCATTGCAAGATTATTACCAGTCAGCATTTTCTTTTGTTTTAAGATTGACTAAATCTTAATAAATTGCAATATTGTTATTTAATTCTAATAATAATTATTATTATTATTGCACATCAGCTCTTAATTCAGCAATTTTAGTATTTAATCTAGTATTTGCAAATTCATAACGAATTCTTATAATAAAATTTTAATTTACTTAGTTTTAACAAAGTCTGCTTCTCTTTGATCATCAGCAATCATTTCTAATTTCTAAACTTAATAAACTTCATCAATTAAATCATCAATAATTCTAATTACTTTTTCTTGACTTGTTCCTTATTAGATTAAAGAAAGTGTTGAATGAATCAAAGTATAAAACATTGATGACTTTTAAATTTAATTTACTAATGTTACTTTCTCTATAATTACATATATTTTCCTTATGGTTTTTCAATTAAATTAAAGCAGTTGGATCTGTTTTAATAGAACCAATAATCTTTTTAGCTTCACTTAATGCTCCAACAATAGATGTTAATTCATCTCTTTTACTTTCAAATTATTATCTTGATTCTTATCTTTATTAAATCAATTTATTTATTCTATCATTATTTCTCTATTCCTCACCTTCCTTATCCTCTGCTTAATGTCTTTTATCAAGTAATTTTTATTCAAGTGGACTTACTTATTCTTAAGCTTATGCTAATTTTGTTTATGAATCTAATATTGTTTATGAATTTTAAGAAATGTGTGTTTCACATGTTTCCAATCTTTCAGATAATAATCCAGTATCTTCATCTTAATCATTTTGAATTCCTTTTTTTAACTCTTATAATAAATCTATTGTCTTTCCGAATGAGGATGGTTCTTCATTCAAAGTTAATTAGATTGCTTATAGCACAGTTTTTCCATATTCATTTTATGATATTTCATAAATTGATTTAGTGCAAATAACACAATTTATCAGAAGTATCAATAATAATGATGTTGCTCTCATTAAAAACGAATATTAATATTAATAATATTTAAAGTTATAATGAAAATATTGAATATCCATGAATTATAAAATGAATTAAAAAATTAAACACAAAATCTATTGAATATTTTATTATCAATATTAAAGAAAATATATACTTAAGTCTTCGGATTTAAAATTCAAAAAATGAAAGATATCATAATTCTAGCATAGATAGAAGAGTAAAGTAATTACATTAATGATTCATATTTAAGATTTCTTATAAGAAATAATTAAGCATTTTTAAATGTCTGACAAAATAAAAAATTATAAATTATATTTAAATAATGAATCACTATCCATATAATTAGACAAGATGAATGAATTCATAATTCAGGCTGTTGCTTTCATAAAAAATGCCCATGATTTTAGTTTATTTAAAAAAAATCATTATTATATATAATTTTAATATAGCTAATTTATATCATCATTATGTCTTTTAAATGTTTGAAACTAAATCTGGTGCAGAATTACGTTATTACCCTTAAAAGTTAAATTTAATTTGGGAATAATCTTATATTTATTGAGAGTTCTATATTTAAGATATTTGATTAAAATTTTATAATGGTTTTATTTGATTTTAGTTAGGAAACTATTTTTGTAGTTGATTATTAATGTTAAATTATTAAATTTAAGATTATTATTTAGGCGGAAGATTTAAATGAAGTGGAGGTTTTTAATTCTAATTGAAATTGGATGGGATTTAATTTGGTTATTTTAGATTCAATTATGTAGACTCTTTTATTTAAAGATTATTTAGGTTTACTTATGGTTTTTTTTCAACACTCTAAGATATTCTTTCTTCAATTATCTTTTTTATTTACTATAAATTAATTCTCTCTTATGGATTTCTAATAAGCATGTGCTTAAGTAAATTCTTATACTTAATTTCTAGAGCTTAAAGACTATCAATTTTTTTGTTTATATCAAGATTTAAAATTTGGCTATATATTTATTCAATAGTTTGACCTAGAATGATATATACATAAGGTACCTGAAAAAAGAGGGACATTTGTAAATAATTCATACATTACAGCCCCTAATGCCCAAATGTCAACACTTTTATCATAAGTTTATTTTAAAATCTACTCTGGGGCTAAATAATAAGGAGTCCCAACGCATTCCGTTGCTAATCTATCAGATTACTTAGAAGTGCCAAAATCACATAATTTGTAAACCTCTTACATCATTCCACGATCTTCTAAATGACAAATGAGTATATTTTCTGGTTTGAGATCTCTATGAGCCAAACCTTCATTATGAAGCTCACTTAAGCCATTCATTATTTATTTCAATACATATCTTATATCTTTTGGATTAATTGTTTTTTTTTGAATTTAATCATAAAGTGAATGAGAACAATATTCCATCACTATATATATCAAATTGTTTTATTCTTAGTAATCGTAAATGTTGACGAGATTCTTGAAATTCTTTCCTTTAAAGACTTAAATTAATTTCTTTTCAGATTCACTAATTTTATTTTGAACTTTTATAGCAACTATTTTTTTGGAACATAATATTTCGGCTTAATAAACTTTTCCAAATGAACCTTATCCTAAACAATTCTTAATTATATATTCTTTAGAATTAATTGATAGATGTAAAGGATAAGACATTGATTTTTTTAAATTTAAAATATAATAATTAATTCTAATCTAAAACATGAATAAAAAACACAGTAGTTAGCTTAATTATCATTTGGTATTATAAATCTGCTATTTATCTTTCCAATATTCTAATTGGGAGTTAGTTTTTGATTTATGATAATTAGTCATGACTGTTAAAATTTTATAAATCTACTTAAATTTTTTTTCAATTTATTAATAGGCATAATGATGGAAATTCTGTTTTAATGTGAAGAAATACTTTTACTATTAGTATAAATTTCATGGGTCTTTGAAATCTTTATTATTCATATATAATTATATAAATCAATTATGAAGTGTTATATTGATGAACATAATAACACCATCACTTATTAAATCAAAATGTTTTTATGACTAATAGGCTATTAATAGTAGGATTAGTATTTCAATCTTATAACCATACTAAACCATTTGGTTTCTTGCTATCAATATAATCAAAAAGAAAACCTAAATACATGTAAAGTGCTAAATTAAAAATGAAATATATTATTACTTAGTCTATTTTTCATATTTTGATTATATAATTTATGCAGTTAGCTAGTTGAATATTATGGCCCTCATAAATGGACTTATATTGCTTCCAAATTACCATGAAGAATAGAAAAATAATGCAGAGAAAGGTAATAATCTTATTAGATATTATGATTAGATGGCATAATCATTTGAATCCACTAATTAACAAATAACCTTAGGATCTTGATGAAGAATGAATTTTATATCAATATCAAAAAGCAATTAGTAATAAATGGACAGAAATAGCTGAGGATTTAGAAGGAAGAACATGTAATGCAATTAAAAATCATTGGAATTCATGTATGAAGAAGAGAATGCAAGATTTCAATGAAAAACTATAAAACGTCAAATGATAGTGTATACAAAAGGTTTGTATTCTATGATAATTTTGTAAATTTATTATTTATAAACTTTATAAACACATATTATTTTATATTGATGACCAATTTATATAAAGGATTCTTTAATAAATCAAAAAAGTATCAATAACAGATTCAGATGAAGAAAATAAATATCCTAAAAAATAACCAATCCTTAAAAGTAGAGAAAAAGCACTGTTTTGAGAAAGTAGCATTATGTAATTTTAATAATTAATGAAAGAATGATTCAAAATAAATAACAATTCAGAAACATCCTAAAAGAAATTGGATGCATAAAAAATACTTTCTTTTCGAAAAAGCAGCAAAAGGATAGTACTAATTCAAATAAATAAAATTATTTATAATGGACTTAAACTTCATTTTATAAAGAAATCTAAATGCATCGAGGTTTTTAGACCTTTAAAAGTGTTTTAATGTATAAGAGAATTAAAGCCATTGATATAAACTTTAGAAAAATAATTTGCATTCCCAAAAATTGCATGGCTCCTTAGGCCAATCTTAATCAAGCACAGTTAAACCAACCATTAAGAAAATAAATTTTTTATAAAGTAATTATTATTATATAGAAAATTTTACTTTGATGTAATAAACATTATTAAATAATTCATATTTGATGAAATTTAATAGAAATTCTCTCAATAAAATAATAAAAATTAACAGAGATAAATGTAAATTCTAATAAAGAATTTTATAAATTATATCAAGTCTTGTCAATACTTAAAAATAATAATCTCATAATGGCAAGATGGGATAAAATTATATCATATCCTACCATTTTTATTTCTGTTTAAATAATGTATATAAAACCAACAAAAATAATACGCTAGAAATTAAAATCCAAATGCAAATTAAAATTTATAAGCTTCAATATAATTTTTATGAATTAACAATCAATTCGTTTCCTTTTGCTTATAGTACTTTTAATATTTCCTCCTCACTTTTTTTATTCCAATACATAAATATTAATTGATTTGCAAATTTTTTATCTTTAATTTTTGATAAAATTTAAACTTGCAATCGAATTTAAATAGGATTTAATGATGGTTGTAATTATGAGCATTTTTCAATCATTTTATTTTATGGCTCCTCTTAATAATTGATTTATTAAGAATTATTAATTTTATTTTCCTCATTCAATTTTTAATTATTTTCTTAATACAAATTTTATTAAATTGTAGTGATAGCACTTTTTATTTTTATCTGACTTTATTATACATTTGTTGAATCATTTTGTAATATTTACTTTTATTTTTCAAATTTTATCTCATCTAAGGCGATAAGTATCTACTCTATTTTTGGTCTTTTATTTGGATTCTTGTATAGGCATTTTTCACAAATGTTTCTTAAATCAAGATCATATATTTTATTTAATTTCTCCTTTATGTCTAAATTTTTAATTTAATCAAAAATCATTGAGATATTTCTTCCAGCAAATAATTATTCTTCTGAGAAAAACTCATATATTATTACCCCCAAAGCCCAAACATCAACAGAGCAATCATAATTTTTAAAATCAGAATCATCATTCTAAATTAATTCTGGAGCCATGTAATAAGGAGTACCTATATTTACTGTATGATTGCCGCCACCTTATTTGGATATTTTTGAAAGCCCTAAATCGCAAATTTTTAAAAAAAGTTTATCTTATTTGTGAGTTAATATATTTTAAGGTTTCAGATCTCTATGTATGATTTTGAAATTATGAAGTTCCCATATACCAAAAGCAATCTAGATATCAAAAATAATATACTTAAAAGATCATATCTCTTATATCTTATATATTCAAATACTTTCTATTAATTTTTAGATAGTCTGAAAGATCGCCATTATTACAATAATCCATGACTATACAATCGTATTCCATAAAACCTAATTTATATACAAATTTTTCATAACTCTTAGCTATGTTAAAAAGTTAATAACTTTTTAATTCACTCAATAATCATAAAAATAACTGTACTCTATAATTGCTAATTCATAATTTGAGATTTCAAATTATTACAATTTTAAAGCATATTCTTTCTTATCTTCATCTTTAATCGCAAGATAGACTTATCCGTTAGCTCCCTTGCCTAATTCCTTTAAAATTGAGTAATTATTGATTCTTTATTATTACATATTAAATATTATTTTTATTTTTTAGTATAAAATTTAAATTTTGTTAATAATTAGTTTGTTTTATTCAGATTTGCTAATAAAATATTATAATTATTACTGATTATTCGATTTTTTCTAAAATGAATCAGATTCAGCACTTTTATAACGTTTTTAGAGTATATATATTATATATTATAAAAATAGGTTAAATTAAGATCAATAATGGAGTGAGAAAATATTGCTTTAATAAGAGAACAAAAGATCAAACTAATAGAAAAGCAAATCAAGTTATAAGATATGGATTAACTATATATGTTGAGTCATTCCTTTTTTTCAATTAAAACAAAGTTATTAATAATTAATTTGATATTGAAGATTCACATTAGCATAAAATCTTAAAGATCTTTGAAAAAATTAAAGCAAAAATTTGGAAAATCCTGCCTGGATTATAAATATTCTCAGCGTGACAATCATGGTTAATGAATATCAGTTGTGTGGCAATTTTTGGTGTCAAGAATCGAAAATGATATACCATTAGACAGCATCAACCCAAAATATTATAACATCTTCACATTTTAAATGAATTAAATAATAAATGGAAGAGTATTTATTTGTCTAGAATTTTATTCTTTTAAAATCATTAAGTGATTACATAAATAATTAAGTGAAACTTAATCAATGCCAATTGTAACAAATTAGTTATTTAATTTGTAATAAAAATAAGTAAACTAAATTAATAATATTAATATTGATTATTCAATAAACTATTTCATTTTTTTTTTGGAACTAAGAACTGCATTGGTATTGGAATTTTAATCTGTTATCTCAAAGCATTAAGCTCAATGAATTGAGGATGGACTTGCATTTATTTTGGAGGTAGAAACTTTTAAAATGGTAAGGTTTTGTACCATCCTCTAGGTAAAAATTAATTATGCACAATTTCTAAATTGATAATATTATGAATTTCTACTCTCTTATTATTCATATTTATATTAGTCATGGCAATCTAATTCTACTACACTTAATTTCCGAGTAGATGTATTACTCCTTTTTCCTAAAATAACTAAATATTGTTATAATGTTTACTTGGAGGTTCAACGACTTTTTGATCTTAGGAAATTACACTAGTTTTTCTAATATAACCAAAAACTTAGGTATGATTTTACTATTGTTATTTCTCTGTGTTTTAATTCAATATATTGTGAATGTTAGGAGTATTATGACCGCCATTATGGCTACTAAGTTTATGAACCGGTGATTAGTTAGAGGGAAGTGATTTTAATACATTAGATTATGAGACATTATTTAAAAATTGTATGGATTGTTAGGGTTATATGAGATGTGGTTGAGATTGTTATTATTATTAGAATTAAGTAAGAGATGCTAGTTAAACTTTTTTAGGTGAATCAAATTGTTTATTCTCTGTTAGGGTATTCATAAGTTATTTTGGATTGTTGGCTGTAGTTGATCTAGATCTTTATTAAAGATCAACTGAGCTATTATTTTATTTTTTTGTTATAAATTAGACAATCTTTTTAGTTTTCTTTTTATTTTAATTAGTTCTTTTGATAAGAATAAGCTTACCGCTGTTTGTTTCAGCACATTCTTATGCATCTTAAATACTTTATTCGGATATTGAACGCTAAGAACCTTCTGTTTACTGATTATTATTAACAGAATTGTATTAATTAAGCATATTTTCATCCATTACTTAACTACTATTAGGTTAATCTAAGTATAAGTCATGCTAATTTCGAGATGGGTCTATCAATCTTTTCAAAATGCTTTGATATTTAGGTGTTTCAACTCTATGGTTATGATTATGCTGTCTTGATTTAATTTATGCATGTTCAGCCATCATTTCCTTCACATAAGATTTGTCTAGTAAACTCTATTATTATTATTATTATTAATGGACCTGGGATATTTTATTGCACTATTATATTTAAAGCAATAATTACTTATTCTAAATAAGATGTATCAATCTTCTTAGTGTTTACACATCTCCAATAATCCTTAGACATCATCTTAATTACCATTAAAGCTTTAATAATTCTTGTAACACGCTCTCTCATTGAAAATGACTTATACATCTCTGGCAAAGAGAGTGGAATTGGATCACTAATATTTCCTGTAATCCATGGATGATGTAAGATTTATTGTGCATTATATCTATGCATAGGATCCTCTGCAACGCATTTTAAGAAAAGATTTTTTGCCAATTAGTCAAAATCTTCAGGAAAATTCCATTACGGATTTTACAGATGTTCGTACAGTTTCTCTCTATATTCATCTGCTGTTTATCCTTATACATATAATGGATGCTTTCCTCCTGTACATACCATGTACAATATTATTCCACAACTCCAAATGTCAACTGGCTAATCTATTTATTTATATTGTTACTTTCGAGTAATGTTTATTAGTAAAGAATTCTGGAGCCATATAAATAAGTGTACCACATTAACCACTAATGAGTAGTTGAGACCTTGTCGACAATCCAAAATCCACTATTTTCAAAGTTGTCATATCGTTTGGGTCTTCAAGTAAAAGGTTCTCTAGTATACATACAATCCTCACCTCAGGTTTAATGTCACGATGGACTACTCCTCTTTCATGAATGAATGCCACTGTTTTGAACAAAGTTTGCATTAATAGTCTTTTCTATTCATAACTCAATTAAAGTTTGTCTGCAAATAATCTTTTCAATTGCCCGTACTTAACCAAAGCCATTTCTATTAATAATCTTGTATCTGTTTCATGAACTCTCTTAAACTACACTATATTTGGATGCTTCATTTGACTCAAAATGCTTGCTTCTGCTAGTATTTCTGAATAGCTTTTTCTACATTCTCGCTTAGGTACTAATTTGACAGCAACACTTTCTCCTTTAATGTTCTTTGCCTTAACCACCTTACCAAATCCTCCTGAACCTAAAAATTCTTCAAATTCATAGAAGTCACTAAATTTATTTGCTACATCTCCAGAATCAAATTCATTCATTTAGAATTATTAATATATTAAAAAATTACTTTAATCAGTTCCTTTCTGAATCTTTCATTATATTTTAATCATCAAAAATTCATTTATAGAATTCTTCTATTACTTCTAGAAAATATTTTTATTTGAATTTTTTGATCCTTTTAGAAAATATTGATATTTATAAGTTTAAATTCATTACCCAATAAGAGCATTCTAATTCAATTTTCTTCAGTAATCTCAATTAAATAATATAGTTGAAATATGTTTTAAAAATCCAGTTGATATTGATAAATCTGACATAAATGATAAATTTATTAAATTTAAAGTTTTGTTCTCAATAGCCATTAATACACAACTAAATTTCGATAATGAAATAAAATTAAATGTACAATTATATCTTAATGACTATAATTGAAAATTTATATTAATATTTGTAATTCTAGTATTATAAAATTTTGGAGATTCTAATCATTCATACAAAATTTTAATTTTATTACACAATTAAATACTGAAGGTCTCTAAAAATGGCTTCAAAAATAAAGATTAGTAATAAATACTTTGTTTAATAACTTTACTTTGATTTAAGAATAAATACTTAAATATTTAACTAGAAAAATTGATATTTTTTAAAGTTAGTTGATATATCATTTTATCTAAAAAGAATTCAAATTAGAATCAGAGTTATAAATTATATTGACTTTAATTCTGATAGACATCTGAAATTATGTTCATTTAAGATATTACAATTTTTTTTGAATCCTTCATCTAGATATAAACTCTATATCTTTAAATAAATTATGAAAATCTCTAAGATTATTTGAAATACTTAAAATCCTTAAAATTCCTGTAAATATTATTTTAAGAATATAATTATAAATTTAATAACAATTTAATTAATAGCGTAAATAATTTACAAAAACGTATTATCTTAATTTTTAATAATTTATTAATGAAATCCAATTATTCATCCTCTAAATTTTTTAAAATTCCAATTCATTTCTATCTATGATCATCATAAATAAATAGAAATTTTTGTAGTTTTATTGATTAATTAAATTTTTATTAGTCACATAGAATCTAATTCCATTAATATAGTTTTCCACGTAAAAACCATATTATACTTATCTAATATAATTTGATAAAAGTATGATATGAGACAGTAAATTATTAAAAATTTGGAATTTAATTACTAATAATTTATATAATTAATATAATATGACAACTTAGATAAAAAAACTATCAAAATTAGATCATACAGTACCAATTTATTCTCCTCGTTCAACTTATAAATAGATTTTACATATTGATGAAACATTATTGGCTGATCTTACTCTTAATTTTGATCCATTCACTATTAATGTTTTAAGAACAGAATTTTTAATGCGACATGGATCTATGGAGGTGACAGAATTCATTTTAGTTGTCAAGGAACATTTATTAAGTTGGCAATTAGAAATCTCAAATAGAGATATTAAGTTAATTAGGTATTTGATATTATAATAAGATAACTTGTTAATCTTTTTGAAGAGATTGATTTAAATGGTAATGGGAATTTAGAATGGGAAGAATTCACAAACTACATTATTGAAAAAGCAACAGTGTTAAATAATATTAAGTCTAAATAAGATGAAATCAAACTATACACAAAATCTAATATGAAACCATTCAAAAAATTCACATAAATCATTACTAGGGTAATTTACATAAAGGAAATAGATAAAATAGCATTTTTTGAGGAAGGAAGTGATGAAATTTAATTTATGACTCCTGATGGTGGATTTGGCTTAAAGCCATTAAAAATTGTACCTATTAGTGACAAAGTTGTGACAACACAAGCAAAAAAAGATAAAGATAAACAAAATGTATATAAACTTAATTCAGAACTAGTTTGTTATTGTTAAAAAAGAAGACACAATAGAAAAAAAAACAAAAATTTTGACAATGCTCTACATTGATGACCCTAAGTATCAAGTATTATTGACTTCAACCCATGATGGCTATGTAAGGGGGTGGAGATATTAATCCTCAGGATTTGTTTTAGCCAATTAACCTGATAATGATGAAGAAATGATAGAACATCATTTTAATAATGACATATATAGTATGACTTGGGATGGGATAAATGAAATTTTGTATTGTGGTTAAAAAGAAGGCTAAATTAATATATGGAATTTGAAAAATGATACAGAAATTCAATTTGAAGATATAAGTCATACTGATGTTGTTATGGATATGATCGCGATGCCAAAATTACAGTTTATGGCATCAGCTAGTCTAGACCATAATTTAATTTTGTGGAATACTTTATCTAAAAAACGAGAGCGTACATATAAGGAACATACAAGAGGCATAGTGTCTTTAGCATTTAATGAGAGTTTAATATTATTATTTTCTGCTGGATTTGACCATAATTTATGTGTTTGGAATCCATATATTGAAAGTTTGATTTTCAAAATACAAGGTCATAGTAGTCCAGTTATTGGAGTTGTAGTTATTGAAGGTACATCATAAATAGTTTCTTTGGATTAAGAAGGTAGTGTAAAGGTTTGGGATACAAAGAAATTTAATTGTGTTTAATAATTTAGTGTTGAAACATAAGATGAAAAACATAAGTTTAATCCTTCGAGTTTATGCTATATACCTAAACCTTTAAAGCTAATCTTTGGTGGTAGATCAATTTATTCTTATGAATATGATAAGAATTATAATCCTAATTCAGTAGATGATTATGTTGCAGTATGTTGTAAATTTATAGAAAATTAAATGGCATTTTTTACACCAGCAGGAACTAAAATAAAAATATGGAATGCTTTAACTGGAGATGTTAAAAAAATATATAGTGATATTACAACTACTGAAATTACAGCATTTAAATTAGATAATTTAGATAAAAGATTTATTATTGGAGATAGTAGTGGAACTGTTGCATTATTTAATGTAATTAATGGAGCAAAAATCAAGAATCTACCAAAACATTCAGGTGAAGTTGTTGCTATTGTTCATGCATCTGATATTGGATCATTCTTTACTGGATCTATGGATAATAATGTATTTATGACTTTAGATAATGAATTTGGAGAAAGTGAATTATTACGTACATTTATAATATAAGATGGATAATTAACATACTTAAGTTATGATCCTGCAATGAAACATTTATTAGCAGGAACTAATTCTGGTTAAATTAGATTTTATGAAACTGATACAAATAAATTGCATGGAGTTGCTAATGAATTTAAATAAGGAGAAGAAATTACATCTATCAATTTAATCAAAGGAATTCCATTTATGTTTGTTACCAATAGTTAGGGTAGAATCTCAATTATGTCAATGCCTCCTGTATTACATAGATTTGTCAAAGTTTATACTTTCACTAATATAGATCCTGAAATTCCTAGTTAATTATTAGGAATCTCTAATGCAGTATTCAGTTAAGATAAAAAAGTACTCTATCTNTACTGATGAAACATTATTGGCTGATCTTACTCTTAATTTTGATCCATTCACTATTAATGTTTTAAGAACAGAATTTTTAATGCGACATGGATCTATGGAGGTGACAGAATTCATTTTAGTTGTCAAGGAACATTTATTAAGTTGGCAATTAGAAATCTCAAATAGAGATATTAAGTTAATTAGGTATTTGATATTATAATAAGATAACTTGTTAATCTTTTTGAAGAGATTGATTTAAATGGTAATGGGAATTTAGAATGGGAAGAATTCACAAACTACATTATTGAAAAAGCAACAGTGTTAAATAATATTAAGTCTAAATAAGATGAAATCAAACTATACACAAAATCTAATATGAAACCATTCAAAAAATTCACATAAATCATTACTAGGGTAATTTACATAAAGGAAATAGATAAAATAGCATTTTTTGAGGAAGGAAGTGATGAAATTTAATTTATGACTCCTGATGGTGGATTTGGCTTAAAGCCATTAAAAATTGTACCTATTAGTGACAAAGTTGTGACAACACAAGCAAAAAAAGATAAAGATAAACAAAATGTATATAAACTTAATTCAGAACTAGTTTGTTATTGTTAAAAAAGAAGACACAATAGAAAAAAAAACAAAAATTTTGACAATGCTCTACATTGATGACCCTAAGTATCAAGTATTATTGACTTCAACCCATGATGGCTATGTAAGGGGGTGGAGATATTAATCCTCAGGATTTGTTTTAGCCAATTAACCTGATAATGATGAAGAAATGATAGAACATCATTTTAATAATGACATATATAGTATGACTTGGGATGGGATAAATGAAATTTTGTATTGTGGTTAAAAAGAAGGCTAAATTAATATATGGAATTTGAAAACTGATACAGAAACTTAATTGTAAAGTGAAGGTGGTCATACTGATGTAGTAATGGATATGATTGCTATGCCAAAATTACAATTTATGGCATCAGCTAGTTTGGATGGTAACTTAATTTTGTGGAATACTCTCTATAATAAAAGAGAGCGTACATATAAGGAACATACAAGAGGCATAGTCTCATTAGCATTTAATGAAAGTTTAATATTATTATTTTCTGCTGGATTTGACCATAATTTATGTGTTTGGAATCCATATATTGAAAGTTTGATTTTCAAAATACAAGGTCATAGTAGTCCAGTTATTGGAGTTGTAGTTATTGAAGGTACATCATAAATAGTTTCTTTGGATTAAGAAGGTAGTGTAAAGGTTTGGGATACAAAGAAATTTAATTGTGTTTAATAATTTAGTGTTGAAACATAAGATGAAAAACATAAGTTTAATCCTTCAAGTTTATGCTATATACCTAAACCTTTAAAGCTAATCTTTGGTGGTAGATCAATTTATTCTTATGAATATGATAAGAATTATAATCCTAATTCAGTAGATGATTATGTTGCAGTATGTTGTAAATTTATAGAAAATTAAATGGCATTTTTTACACCAGCAGGAACTAAAATAAAAATATGGAATGCTTTAACTGGAGATGTTAAAAAAATATATAGTGATATTACAACTACTGAAATTACAGCATTTAAATTAGATAATTTAGATAAAAGATTTATTATTGGAGATAGTAGTGGAACTGTTGCATTATTTAATGTAATTAATGGAGCAAAAATCAAGAATCTACCAAAACATTCAGGTGAAGTTGTTGCTATTGTTCATGCATCTGATATTGGATCATTCTTTACTGGATCTATGGATAATAATGTATTTATGACTTTAGATAATGAATTTGGAGAAAGTGAATTATTACGTACATTTATAATATAAGATGGATAATTAACATACTTAAGTTATGATCCTGCAATGAAACATTTATTAGCAGGAACTAATTCTGGTTAAATTAGATTTTATGAAACTGATACAAATAAATTGCATGGAGTTGCTAATGAATTTAAATAAGGAGAAGAAATTACATCTATCAATTTAATCAAAGGAATTCCATTTATGTTTGTTACCAATAGTTAGGGTAGAATCTCAATTATGTCAATGCCTCCTGTATTACATAGATTTGTCAAAGTTTATACTTTCACTAATATAGATCCTGAAATTCCTAGTTAATTATTAGGAATCTCTAATGCAGTATTCAGTTAAGATAAAAAAGTACTTTATCTAAGTGATGACAAAGGTTTCATTAAATGTTTTGAAGTTGATTGGCTTGTAGACTTTTTGATTAATGTTGTCATAGATAAAGATAAGGAGGATGCGGCTACAAAAAGAATGAAAGGAATAAAAACTGGATCGACTTAAAATGCAAGATAAATGCTTGCATTGCCTAAAGTGCCTTAAAAAGAAGTTAAAATGAAATGGATTACTAGAGCTCATTATGAAGTTATTAAATCTTTAGAATATGTAGAAAAAGAAAATTTTCTCATTACTACTGCTTTTGATAAGAAAGTGAAACTCTGGGATGCAGAAACTGGTAAATTTATAGATTCATTTCAATAAAATTATGATAGGAAAGAACCAAGACCTATTGCTCTAAAAAGAAGTGGAACAGATGAAATTTATAATGCTGATTTAAATGAGAGAGTAGATCTCAAATATACTTAATTAATACAATAACAATAATAAGAAGAATAAGGTGGTTAAGTTCAATAAATTTAAGTTTTAGAAGAAAAGATTTCAGATCCTCTTGGGCTAACTAAATCTCCTCAAGAAGAATTCAATCCATTTTATTACTTAGAAAAGATAGATCAATCTAAATTATCAACTCTAAAAAGTAATCCTGAATGGAAATTAGAAATAAGATTTAAAGAATATTATGAAAAATATGAATAAAAAATTAAAACTTTATTTGAATAAGTTAAAATTAAAGAAAAGGAAGTACATGAAAAATAAGTTAAATAAGGAATCCACAATCGGCATTTTAAAGTTCAAAACTACTCAACTGATGATGCTAAACAATTTGATTCCAATCACAAACCAATACTAAAAGATGATGACGGAAACAATAATCATTCTCATCAATAATAAGCTTCAGTGTAATTTAATTAAAAATTGAAGCCTGAATAAGTATTATAAAAACATAAAGTTTAATAAAAAGATCATCATCAAATTACATAAGGAGGAAACCAATAAATAAATTTTGATAGTATAACAAATTAAGGTGAAATTGTTAAAGAACTAAAATAACAGCAGTAAGATTTATAAGAAAATTTAAAACATGGAATCAAAGTAAGTATTTCTACTCCTTAAATTAAATCTATTTAAATTCCTTCACTAGCAAAAGCTACGACATAAAAAAGAAGTAAAAAAGTTGATCCTTAACTATTTGAGAAGTTGTACAGATAAAACTTGAAAAGCAAGGTTCTCTTTAACTCAGATCCTGAAGTTTTCTTATCAGAAGTAAATTATTTAATATATAATATAGGCTGAATGTAATGCTGCATACAAATTAGCTGCAGCATTGGCAAATTATGATATCACAGATGAACGGTCATTAAAGTTTGCAGAAATCAAATGTAAATCAAGGGTCAAATTACCAAGATTATAATGACAATATTTTATTTAACATAAAATATTAATTATATATTTAATATCTGATAAATAACTTAATCCAGTTAAAAGTAAATATAAAGCTAAAATATTATTGATGTAAATAATTAAAATTAAAATTTTAAGCTTATGGCAACACTCAAAGGAAAATTTAGCGAAAGCAAAATTTTTAATTTAATTAACATAAACCTTTCTTAATGATTTCATAAAAATCCTTTATATGAAAAGTCAGATGGGATTAAATTAAAAATATATTGTTAGGCTAAATAACATCTTAATTAAAAAATTAAAGTTGTAACTTGGAAATCAAAGTTTTTAGATTTTTTTTATTAATAATTGTCAAATTATGTTGAATGTTCAAAAAATTTCAATATTCTATCTTAGACTTGCTTTTTACAAGCATTAAAAATATTTATTAGATTTTTGTCCTCTTAGAATTTTTTTTTAGAATTGTTCCTATTGGTGCTCAGAAAATAAAATTTGGTTGAACATTACCGTTGAATAAAAATCAACTGAAGAATAACTTAGAACAGTTCAAATTGATACATAAACAAGTCATAAATAATAAATGATTTTAAGTTAAAATATAATTTGAGGAGGCCAATGTAGGATAAATTTTAACTAAAAATACTTCTTTTTAGAATGTATATAACCTCTTAATAAAAAAATTTGCAGTAAGAACAGAGAATATACTCTTAAAATTTTTGAATATAAATTAATTATGAATGGTCAATCAATTAGTAAAAGAAAATTGGATAAATATTATAATTATCTTGGTTATCATAATTTAGAAATGATAAAGATAAATTAATCACAAAATATATATTAATCCAAAAAAATAAGATGGAAAAGCTATGAAAATTAAATAGTAAGCAATTATTTTTATTCATTTTTTTAATGTTTGAAAAAACTAAGAATGAGAATTTGAATTTAATTACTAATAATTTATATAATTAATATAATATGACAACTTAGATAAAAAAACTATCAAAATTAGATCATACAGTACCAATTTATTCTCCTCGTACAACTTATAAATAGATTTTACATACTGATGAAACATTATTGGCTGATCTTACTCTTAATTTTGATCCATTCACTATTAATGTTTTAAGAACAGAATTTTTAATGCGACATGGATCTATGGAGGTGACAGAATTCATTTTAGTTGTCAAGGAACATTTATTAAGTTGGCAATTAGAAATCTCAAATAGAGATATTAAGTTAATTAGGTATTTGATATTATAATAAGATAACTTGTTAATCTTTTTGAAGAGATTGATTTAAATGGTAATGGGAATTTAGAATGGGAAGAATTCACAAACTACATTATTGAAAAAGCAACAGTGTTAAATAATATTAAGTCTAAATAAGATGAAATCAAACTATACACAAAATCTAATATGAAACCATTCAAAAAATTCACATAAATCATTACTAGGGTAATTTACATAAAGGAAATAGATAAAATAGCATTTTTTGAGGAAGGAAGTGATGAAATTTAATTTATGACTCCTGATGGTGGATTTGGCTTAAAGCCATTAAAAATTGTACCTATTAGTGACAAAGTTGTGACAACACAAGCAAAAAAAGATAAAGATAAACAAAATGTATATAAACTTAATTCAGAACTAGTTTGTTATTGTTAAAAAAGAAGACACAATAGAAAAAAAGACATAAATTTTGGCAATGCTCTACATTGATGACCCTAAATATCAAATATTATTGACTTCAACCCATGATGGCTATGTAAGAGGGTGGAGATATTAATCTTCAGGATTTGTTTAGGCCAATTAACCTGATAATGATGAAGAAATGATAGAACATCATTTTAATAATGACATATATAGTATGACTTGGGATGGGATAAATGAAATTTTGTATTGTGGTTAAAAAGAAGGCTAAATTAATATATGGAATTTGAAAA